ATCTATAAATCGCGATTACAGAACGAAAGGCAATTCACGGCGTTCTCCTTGCAGACGTAGAGAAGAAAATTCAGACAGACTGGCACGGCGCAATCGGACTCCGAGAAGTGCTTTCTACCTACTTTTCGCGCCGTGGCTCCATTTCGTACGTTCGTATCCCCGGCGGCTACACGGTACGACGCGCACCACAAGTACGGAGCACTATCAAATAACCGATAAACACTAGCACTCGCGTCCAACCCCGACTGGCGACAGTATACTGCGAGAGGGAGGCCCGAGGCAATGGTGACGACGATGACGATGTTTCAGGGCCTGCCGGCGTGCGCGACCGAATAACGCGACGGAAAAGCCGGGCCGATAAGAACACGTTCGTCTCCCTCGACTACCACTCGAACACTGTCAGGTGTGCGCGGCGCACCACTACCATCACCGTTCCCCCCACCACCGCTACCGTCCCACCGCCGTCGCCCCACCATCGTCATCATAGCTGCCGCCGTCGCCGTCGCCGCTGCTGCCGCTCTCACGCGCGCGATCTCCGACATAGTATATAACACTGGAGCACCGCGTAGTCGGAAGCAACAACGGCACACACGGTTTACATAAGAAGGGGAGTATTAAACTCGCGCTCCGCGAGTTTTGGACTCGATTACGGATCTACCGGGTGTTCCTACAGCTCGGAAAATGGCACCTCTTCAATTTTTACTTCAGTCCGGAATGCACGGGTATTAAGATGGATCTTTGAAAACCTGTATTCATCATGTGTCCTCTTTTTCTTCCCCCCTCTCCCTTCTACCCTGAACTTTCCCGGAACTCTCGAGCGTTATTTCTTGTCTTTCGGATAATTCTTGAATCGTATTTTTAGGCTGGTATTCATAGTCGGATCTTATATTTATGACCGTCTTAAGTACAGTCTTAAGATGTCATGAACCAATCAGAGGCCGGTATTTATAGTCAGTTCTTATTTCAAGACCGTCTTAAGTAATATCTTAAGACGCTAATGCGGCCTTCTGATTGGTTCGTGACACCTCAAGGCTGAACTTAAGACGATCTTGAATATAAGAACTGACTATGAATACCGGCCAGAGAGTTGTATCAACATCTTAAGACATTACTCAAGACGATCTTAAAATAAGAACGGACTATGAATACCGCCCTTAGATATTGTTTGAGTTAAGTTTATTGAAATCATTTCAGCTCTTGCAAATTTTTGTTAAAAGAAAATTGCTTCTCTAGTAATTTTTTATACAGTTTACAAAAAAGAGGTAACGCTAGTGCGTTTAGCAGTTCAAGGTAATCGTCTTTATATGATATCTTCGAATTATCTCCGAAAATAATCCTTAGTACACGCGATTGGGTCATTTGTGTCCTGCACATTTTCTTTCTTTGAAAAACTAAGAGCATCAAATAATTAGTTATAATACTTATATGTATACAATTTTTTAAAATACACAATAGTATAAATATTTTCTAAAGATGTTAAAGTATATGGTTAAGAATTATTTAATAATTTTTATACATTTGTTAAAATGATCAAAATTAACCTAGGACATGAACGATGTTCCCATCGTGTGTAGTAAAGGATTAGAAAATCATTGTGTGTACTAAAAGTTAAGGTAACTAGAAAAAAGACATTTATGCAAAACTGCATAAATTTTGAAGTTTTAATAGGTTTGAAGTAATAATACATTTCTCGTTTCATTTCAATTTCATATGATTACCTATAAATTTACAGAAAAGAAATAGCATTTATCAGTTTGAGGTGATCGCCTCTATAGAATGCCTCTGAATTAAGATAATTAAATAAAAACATTTAAGCAAAAATGTCGTTTCGAAGAATAGTACATTTCTCGTTTTCGTCTTAATTTTAATTTATAGAAAAGAGGTAATGTTTATCGATTCAAACGATTGCGCATGTATGTAAAGTCTCCAAAATAAGATAATTAGAAAAAAGATATGTGGTCGCAAAAGTGCAATTGGTTTGAGGAGGTAACGTTTATCAGTTCGAGGCAATCGCGCCTCTATGGACACCTGTCCTAATATTACTAGTATTGAAAATCTACAATTCACGTTATGTGTACTAAAAATTTTCCAGTATATATCGAAACTCAGTTAGAATGTCTCCGAATTAATATAATTAAAGGGATGCTGGAGTGACCAAACTATCGACGGAATCAAAAATCCTTTTAAAGTAGATGCAAAATTAGGAGGTGATACACGGTAGACTTTATATTAAAATTAAAAAAAGTTAAGTAAGTTTTTAACTTTTTTCGATTTTAGTGTAAAGTCCATTGTACCACCTCTTAATTTAGCATCTATTTTAATCCTGTAAAAGGATTTTTTATTCCGTTCAGTCAATTCGGAGATTTTTATACGACTGCAATGTCGATAATTTTGTCGCTCCAGCAACCCCTTAAAAATGCCGTTTTGACCAGTATGTTTCTTGTTTTCGTCTTCATTTCATACGACTTATAGAAGGTACTTCGGAATTGGCACACGACGTTGCGCCAGTAAGATTCTAGCACGCACTGACCTTGCTCTCGGAAACCAGTGCGGGATAATTGTATAGGCGGATGTGTAACATCGTTGGCGCGTGTTTGCGGACGAGGTGCGTGTAATTTGCACTTACCGAATATATATATATAAACCTTAAGGGAATTGTACACTGATTTAGAAGAACGCGATGAAACGAAGCTTCTTTCGCGAAACGTTCCGTTTGGGGATCCGTAACATCCGTTTGTGCGGATTAACTCAGAGTAGTTGATTTAATCCTTATCTGGGCAATCTATTTTCGTACCGTCAGCGGACAAACAGAGCGCAATACGTTCCGCAGCTATTTAAATATTTTTACGCATTCACGTAAATGGAACAAGCCGATTTAATCGCTCTGTACTTTTAACTTTGATTTAAAACACACACATATTCCTTTATCTTTTATAGTTAAATATTATTTGATATTATTTAATATTACTTTAATAGTGTAAGAAGTAGATATTTGGAGTAAGCTTCTCGCTCGACAAAGGATTAAGGTTACAACCTTAAACTGCACCTAACTAAAGACGCTTTTCCCTTCACTAAATGTTAACAAGATTTTTTTTTATATCATGTGAAACTTCTTATAATGTGAAACTATATAACTCCAGTTTGTTCGGTTTACACGTAAATCCGAGTCCCTCTTGAATTAATTTTTAGAATGTCAGAGAAAGTGTATTTTCTCGAATCTTAAAAGAATTATATTTTAGAGAGAAGTTTTCCAATTTAGTACGTTACTTGTCTTAGAGTAAGACACAATTTTAGGAACATTACACTTCCAATACTCAAAAATTTAATACTTCTACTCTTGGACGTCTAATCCAATTGTTAACATGATTTAAAAGTTCCACAATAACTACAATAATACTAGAACTTTATATTGCTTGTGTAGTATATAACAGATAAAGAACTTCGTAAAACGTTCAATAAATCGATATCGAGTGTCGTTTTTGATAAAACGAATTATGCGAAACATGTGTATATGAATTAGAGACACACGGATTTACATGTAAACCGAACAAACTGGAGTGATATAATTTCACATTATGAGAGGTTTCACGATATAAAAAAAAATCTTGTTAATATTTAGTGAAGGGAAAAGCGTCTTTAGTCAGGCGCAGTTTAAGGTTGTAACAAGTTTAATCCTTAGTCGAAATTTATCGTAGAATTAAAAATTCGCAAGCTAAAGAAAACTCAACCATTTTAATGATAGAGTTTTTAAACAGACTGAATCTAAAAACGGAATAAGCGGAACATATTATTTAATTTGTACACAGAAAAAGCGGTTTTACTGAAGTATCTAAAAATTTAGTTAGATACAGATCTAAAATAATTTTGTTGGACTACTAAATAATTATATTAGGAACGTGTTATTGACAATGCTCTGTAAAAAGTTTTAACATTCTAGCCATCAATTTGACCTACATAATTATTTTGATGGTCCAAACAAAATTATTTTCAGTTATATCTAGCTCTTTCAGCCATATTTAGTTAAATTTTTAGATATTTCAGCAAAACCGTTCTTTCCAGCTTGAATGTAGCTATTCAATCTTTATATTTCAATAACTGTATATGCACTTATTTTAACGGATCTGTGAACTAATTAATATTTTATATACCGCGAATATTATTCATCAGTTTAATGTGATAAATACTTAGCATAATGAAATACTAAATACAAAGAGTTATTATGTTGCGTATCCTTCGCTCATCTGCGTATCTTTAGATTTCAGAGATGCATGGAATAATTGAAGAATGAAATTAAGAGGCCAATAATTACGCAAGTTAGAATAATATGAAACGTAATAAGTATACAACCGAATGACGGCGTTTTGATTCTGAATCGTCAGCAAACGGTGCAAATTATATGCAGCTTTCTATATGCATACAACACGTGTATTCGCACGCTGTCATCAGCGGCTACGCTGCATCTCGGTTGCGTGCAATGTGTATGTCTCGTGATGAATCGAGTGGGATAAAGGGTAAGAGAACGGTGAGAAAGCATCAATAGAACAAAGAGAAAAGCCAACCGTTCGCCACGGGTTGAAAGAGGAAATCGCTGAGCGGTGTATAATACGCACACGCAAAACGATGCAGTAGCGTACATCAGAAAAAAAGACGGGAATAATTTTTGCAGCGTTTCGATAAGTTAAAAAAACACCACGGTAGATAATTTGTTTTCTAATTTACGCGAGATTTCAATTTACGCTATACAGTGCTCCGGTCGTTTATTCAATGCATGCGTAACTCTTCGTTTAGTTTGTATTATGAATATCATGAGAGGCGAGTAAATTAATATAACGAGCGGTGTAAATTCACATGAAATGCGGTTCGTGGAAATTTAATTTAAATCACGTTGAATAATAAACAGAGAGGAACGTAAAGTTCGATATAGCTCTCGATAATTACGGTTGTGTTTGATAGAGCTGGCAAATAAAGCATATAGAAACATGCAGTTGCATTTGACTCACCGTGTTGAGGGGTCGAGAATGCTGAATGTCTGCGAGGTGACATGTTAGGATGATTACCCTGGCTACCTGGTGGCTGCATAGAAGATAATGCACCGAGCGGAGTGTAAGACTTGCAAGGTTGTTCCATTTTTTGCTAATAAAAAAAAGGAATGTATATTGAAAAATATATATTTGTATTCGACTACATAAATAAAGAAATAATTAAGAAGAAAATAAGAACGAGAGTATTTCAATAAGAATGAGAATAGAGAAATTAGTAAATAAAAAAATTTTAAACAAAAGATACTTATAATCCATATATCATCCATATACCACTCATATTATTTAATTATTCATATTTATTTAAAAAAGTTTGTTCTAAATAAATGTTGAGTAAGTTGTAGCTTCTATTTTGAATATGTATAAAATGAATTTTCATATAACATGCAAGAAGATGATTTGAGTTAAATACAAACCTGATCGTGAAGTTCAGTAGCCACCGCGGTAGCTGCAGTTTGAGTATGACTGGTAGAACTAATCCTGTACTGCATACCAGCAATACTGCAATACCCTTCGTGATGAGTAGATCGAGTTTGATTGACGTAGACACCTTTAAAAGAATTTATTATCATAGTAAGAAGATCGTTAGAGTTTTCACGCTTAATCCACGCATGATTAATTACCAGTGATAGTGACATCAGTGTCCTGGTTAACGATGACAACTTTCTTAGATGGCTTAATAGCCTCCTCCGGATCAGAGCCTTGCCTTGACTTCTTCTTATCGTCTGAGTCATTTTGTCTACGTCTTTTAATTATCTCTACTTCCGATTCACTGGAGGAATCACTGGTGCTGCTGCTGCTGCTGCTACCACAACGATTTTTCTCATCGGAGTAGGAAGCAGCCAAAATGGCAGTGGCATTAAGACTGGCCATCCTCTTGCAAACAACCATATCCTTCAAGTCCATTACTTCCTCGTTTCTCTTCCTCCTTTTAGTTATTTTCTTCTTGCTTGGTTCAACGTTCTTTTCCTTCTCGCAGTCCTCATCGGATGAGGATGAAGATGACGAACTCCCCGGCATATCCCAATGTTTGCCACGTAGTCCGGGCACATTTCTCAGTTTTCTTTTCAGGACGTTCTCCTCCGTTTTGCATTCAACCTTTTTCTCTTTTTCTTTACGTGGCTGCTCTTCTTTTTCCTCTTTCATTTTCTTCGGTTTCTCTTTCTCTTTCTCCTTCTCCTTTTCGGGTTTCGGTTTGCAAAAACCACCAAGATAAACTCCGCCGGTTTCATTTTCGTAGAGGCAGTGAACTTTAGCCAAGGCATTCAATGATGCGACCCTGTGTCGTTTTGGTCCACTCCAAAAGCCAAAAAGTCGCATTCGTCGCGCACGTTCATCCGATGGCGAGTTAGCCCTCTCTTTATTCTTACTATCCTTTTGCTTACTCTTCTTGTACTCGTCGTCAGAATCATCCTCAGATTGAGATGTAACGCCACTGATATTCTCACCATTCATTGCCTCAACCTTTAGATTTAATTCAACCGTATTCTCAGCGCCGATTTGTTCCTGTTTGGAATTTGCGGTAGACTTCGCGTTATCTTCCGAAATTTTGGATTGCTTATTAGATTCTTCGGTAGATGCATCTTCAGATAAAACTGACGTTTGATTATTGCTCTCCGTTTGTACCCTTATTGTTTTCCCAGTCTTCTTTGGGGCTTTGCTGCTAATTTTGTTACCACTTTTAATAGCTTTCTTATTATCCTGTAATTTTGGTTGAAGACTCTCCTCTTTGCACTTATCGGAATCCTTGTCTTCTTCAATTTCGCTTTTAATGCTGTTCACTTCTGGTCCTTGACAAGTCTCGCTTTTGTTCGCGATCTTTTTATGTTCAGTCGAAACTTGGTCAAACTCTTTCAATTCAATTTTCTTCTTGGTCATAATCTTCTCCGTTATAGTTTTCAACTTGTCTTCCCTTTTCAGAACAGCACTGATCTTCGAATGCTTCTGAGGCAATTTGGCTTTCATGTGTTTCGCCAGCTTTGGTTTTTTCTCTTGCAAAGTCTTACTCTTAGCGAAGTTACTACTCTTCTTCTTCACTTTCTTGACTGCATCTTCATCTTCGCTCATTTCTTCATCTTTTACTGGCTTGACTAACTTGATCTTCTTGTCCACCAGTCTTTTAACTACCGATAAATGAGGCTTCTTTGTCAGAACCGTTTTTCTCGTAATGCCCTTTTTCTGACTTTGTTTTGTTTTGGAATCTTTTTTCGTTTTAGGAGAAATCTTATTGCTTGCCGAATCCTTCTCAGAAATTTTTTTACGTTCAGACTTTTTATCCTTCACGGTGCAATTCTTCGATATTGATTTAATATCAGATTTAATTAACTTGACATCTTTCTTCTTCTCATCTTTACTCCTTTTCTTAGCTGGCGGAGGGAGAATATCAATTTTATTTTCAAGTACTTCCTTATCTTCCAATGTATTTAAAGATTTTACATTGTCCTCGGTATTTATATTATCGTCCAATTTTATATTCTTCTTCTTGTCTTCAGTTTTCTCAATTTTCTTTTTATTATCCGCAGATTGTTTTTCCAATTTTGCTTTCTCTTCACATCTTTGTAATTTTTTCTTATCCGTATTTTCTTGGCTCATCTCTTCGTTAACTTTATCATCTCTTTTTTCTGCCTTCCTCTCGTCAATTTTATCAGATTTCTTTTCATTATCCTTATTCAATTGTTTCTTCTTTTCATCTAATTTATCCAATCGTTCCTTCTTTTTCTCCTCTATAAGTTTCTTTTTGTCATCCAATTTTTTCCTCTCCTCGGCCTTTTCTAATTTCTTCTTATCATTATCCGTTTTCTTCTTTGGATCTTCCACCTTATCATTTTTCTTTGATTTTTTCTCCTTTTTTACATCCAGCATGATCTTCTCTGTAAATGTGCGACGTTTCTTGGCGACTGTTGACGTTTTAGTTGCCTTTTTGGCAACAACAGTCTTCTTCTGTGGCTTCATTATGATTGTATTCTTTACATCTTCAAAATAAATATAAATATGCTCGAAGTTCGCGAATGTCCAATGTTAATTACAACTACCTAACTGCCATTGTAGATTTTATTAATCGCGATACAGTTCGCAAGTTGACTTTATCTGTAAGCAATGCACAATAAAACGGTCAAAAAGTAAACGAGACTAATATTATAGTTTTAACAATAAAACAGTCAATGTTCGATCGTCAATAATATAATTTATCTTCATCGCATGTATTTTTTTTTTTTTTTTTCATTGCGATACACACGACTTTACATCGCGATAAAAAAATTTTTTTCACAGAAACGAACACACGAAATCGGAAAGGGACACGATAAGGTACTACAGACAGCTTTTATCAACGTGCAATAAAACGAATTTACGTACAAATAATAAAGTGGCCAACGCACGCGAATCGGAGCATACGCGAGAGATGCACACGAACGACGGAAATTGTAATGATACTTCACAAGCGAAGCGAGAATCCGCTATGCAGCGTCGGGCCACCGTGCGCGCACTCTCTCCCTCATCGACTTGTTGACAAATCGATCCCTTTAAATCACACTGCGCCCGTCGGCCGATTCGGTACCGCGACAGGTAGAGACTTCGCGCGATAAATAATCAACTCGCGGCACACAGCGTCCTTCTCCACTCCGAGCTTCTTGCGGAGTGTGCGCTCCGAGCGTGGGCCCCGTATACGTGTATACGCGACACGGCACGGCGGACAAAGATACTCGAGAAGTACTACGACGATGACGACGATGACGACGGCACACGGAGGATGAGACGAGAGATCCGAGAAAACGCGGACGGCGGCTACGACGACGGGCCAGCACGCCCTTTAAAAAGAGCCCGTGGACGGACGGCCACAAGTGGCCCTGACAAGTGTGCGAGAGAGACAGAAGGGGAGAAAGAGAAAGAAGGAACTCACCAACCTGCTGATCGATCTCAATCGTCGCACGCGGAGAGAATCTTCACAGACGGCGATCGCGCGCGGGCGGCGCGGCGACGCGATCGCGAACAACACACGCACACGCACACGCTTTAGCAACGAGGAGAGAACGCGGGAGAACTGAAAACGGGACGGGACGGGAAGCACGGCGGAGACGGTGGAGGCGCCAGTGTAAACGGGGGTGTCGTGTTTACCTCTCTGGCGAGCCCTTCCGTCGGCTAAACTCGGCCCGCGAACGCTTTTTTTTTAAATGACGAATCGGGACGCCCGAGCGATTGGTGGGCGCGCTGAGCGACGACGGCACCAGCGACGAACGGGCACCGTGAGTCCTGGGTACGATCGGCGAGATTTCTCGACGGGACGCACGACCGCGAACAATGGCGATAGGCCTTCCCCGCCGGTGGTATCACGGCCCTTTTTCGCGCGGTCTATCGCGAAACTGACGATCTCGCGTCGCGCAGCGCGCACCTCGCACGACGTCCCTGCCCTTTTGCCGTAGCCTCGTCGGCCATTTTCTTCCTCGCGCCGCTCCCCCACTTCTCCCACTCGAAATCCGCTGTCACGTAGTGACACTAGTGACGGAAACGCGACTCACCGACCGATCGTCAGATGGCAGCATCTCGCGGTCCGTGACGCGAACGACAAACGTCAAGCGCCGCTGCTCCAGCTGATATCCGTTTCTACTTTTATATATAGACACTGACGGATCCACGAAGGGGGCCATGGGGGTCATGGTTCTCTCCTTGGTTCTCTCCTTTTTTTATTTTAAAAAATTATAGCAAAATGTTATGTGTAATATGATAAAAGATATTATATTAAAGATATTATTACAAAAAAAGAATAATGTAATAGAATATGTTTTTTATATTATTACTAATATCTTACTAATAATATATTATTATATTATTGTTTTTTATATTATTACTAATATCTTTAATATTTCTAAGATGCTTAATCACAATTTTTTGATATTCCAAAACTATTATTTAATTTAAGAAACTCTTAGATATAAAAAACATATTCTATTACATTATTCTTTTTTTGTGTTAATATAAGGCCTGTTTTTTTTGGTTGAACTTTTCACCAGTTCATCTTTTTTCCTCTTCTTTCCTCTTGGAGAAAAAAGGAAAAAAAATGAACTAGTGCAAAAGTTCAGCCAAAAAGAACAAGTCTATAATTTTAAATAAAACGTTTTATAAATTTGAATAATATTATTTTGATATATATAATAATTTAATATTTTATTTTTTCCTTAAAAAATATTTGACCTTAAAAAAAGATTTCGTTTACGGAGTGCCAATAGCCTCTTCCTTGACAAATTCTGAATCCTTCAATGAATGTAGATTAATTTTAATCTCGATTTAATTTATTCTTTATCAATCACCTTTTCCAATTCTTAGAACTAGAGAAACAAAAGTAAAAATAAATTAGACTCTCTAGAGAATTAAAGTTAATCTTAATTTAACTTACTTTTTACATTGGTAGAAACGAGCATTTCCACGATATTTCCACGTAATATAATATTGATGATAACGCAGCATTTTTAACTATAACGTGCGAAGGCACGATCAATATTTCCACTAAAAAAGATATCATATAAATTAAAGATTTTTCTTTGTCCTCAAGTACGCTTGTTAATTATGATAATACAATTTTATGTTTATTTCTGCATTACATACAGTAATAGCATTTCGACTGCAATGAAATGACTCACTGTATAAGTTACGCTGTTGTGTCCTTGCTGGAAAATGCCCATTATCTTTTATGTACTTGAATCGAATTAATAAATCTGCATGTATTGCTTGCACTTTTTGCACTCAAAATCTTTGCTTTGTTAAAAATTTTTGGGGATTTCAAATATACGGAAAAATCTAATACCTATGAATATCGGAAGTCAATTCCTAGATGGAATACAGAGCCATAATTAAAACATAGGGATGTTATCATGACGTTATTTAATACTTAAAAATGAACTTATATAAAGTATATATCAATAATAAGCTGGTCATGATAACATTTTTACGATATGATTATAACTTTTGTATTCTATTCTTTTGTATTGTCGGGACAAATGCGAAATGCCGCGAAGAAGAAATCGAATGAAATTTTGTCCCTGGAGCAAACTCGGGACCAACTTCACGTGGTTGTAGTGACATTTCATTGGGACGAATAATGTTGGCAGCAATCTCGGCAGCTTCAGTCCCTTAAATGGAGTACAAGTGTTTTGATTGTTCAAATTCTTGCAATAACAATGGAGTGTATAGTAGCGAATGTGGAACATATGCGATTTGATATTGAGATTGCTCTCGATGAACAGTATGGAGCTCTTCCGTTACCTTTCACCGGCATGGACAGTATGTTCTTTTACATTATAATTTTTATGTAGTCGCTTGTATTAGGTTAAGTTTGCGTAACGTAATGTCATATTTATCCAGATATTATTCAATTTATTACATATACAAATTATTTTTTACTGTATCAATACTGCAAATTTTTTTAAACGGTTTTCTCTTTGGTAATAACATTTATCAGAACTTTTGATAATAAGCAATAATCTCTATCTTATGTTTACTTAGAGAACACAGTATGATATTAAAAGAGAGAATAGATCTATTTTATATGTTAATAATATAAAACTTTTAGTAAATAATCTTCTCCCCCTCTTCAATTTACAGAATCAATTGCCGCAGTATGCCAGTTTTATCCGAAAGGCAGTTGTAACAAAGGAGCTTCGTGTCCTTTCAGGCATGTTCGAGGTGATCGCACAATAGTATGTAAACATTGGTTGAGAGGTCTTTGCAAAAAGGGTGATCAGTGTGAATTTTTACATGAATATGATATGACAAAAATGCCAGAATGCTATTTTTATTCTAGATTCAGTAAGTAGCTTGATATATTTATATTATAGTTATTTTCCTTTCACTGTAAGTCTTCTACTTGAACATTTCAATATAAATGATTCAAATATACAACATTCTATATATTTGAACTATAGAACTATCATACCATACAGGTACCAAAGTATATTTAAACAAAGTGAATTATTACAGATGCATGTCACAATAAAGAATGTCCATTCTTACACATTGATCCGGAAACAAAAGTCAGAGATTGTCCATGGTATGATCGTGGTTTTTGTAGGCATGGTCCCTTATGTCGGCATCGGCATGTCAGACGTGTTCTATGTATGGCTTATTTAGCGGGCTTTTGTCCAGAAGGGCCAAATTGTAAATTCATGCAGTAAGTGTATATACAAAAGACGCAAGTCTTTTATAGAAATCTATTTGGAATCTCAGGAATCTGTACATATATATATATATTTGCAATATAATTTCTTCTTATATAGTCCAAGATTCGAATTACCGGCGATACAAGATATGCAACCAAAGGAGGGCAAAAAAGTTATGATCACTTGTCACTTTTGTGGAGAAGGAGGTCATAAAGCGATCTATTGCAACAAAATGCCACCCGACGTACGGGAAGCACAAGTTAGACAGGAGCTCGACAATGATTCTCGTACATCGCATCATCACATGAATATACATAATGGACCACCGCCGTCACGAGGGCCGCAAAAACCCCTCGAAGAAGTGACATGTTACAAATGTGGACAGAAAGGTCATTATGCCAATAAATGTCCAAAAGGTCACTTAGCCTTTTTGAGTCACGCAAGTATTCATGCAAGTGGAGGTGGCACACAGAATCAGAATTACCGGAGATGATTTTCTTTGTTTTATTTATGTAACATGAATATTGTGATGCTACTTTATCTCATTATTATCTTTAAAAATTTCTATTATACAATAAAATAATTTATCATATGTGTCAACCTAATATGTGTCAATTGCCGCTTTTACGATGTTTCAACGATAACTAAAAGCATTTTCATGCTTTTCTTTTTAGACATAACATCAACATTAAAAAATTTAATATAAAAAAATTAAAAAGCGACTTGTATTTAAGAGGGTCTTTAATACTAACAAGTTTTATGTTAAACTATAACAAATCAAAGTATTTATTCTAAAAATTATAAATGTTTAAATATGTAGTTGTTACAGTTTTGCAGTAACACAATTGCGTCCATATGTATAAGATGCATTTTAGTTATTGCTATATCAGCTTCTGATACAGGGTGTTATAAAAAGATATATGTTTATATATAATATAGGTTAATTGTGGATAAAACCTGTATGACCTGCTGGGAAGACATACATTTTACTGGTTATAATTAACATTTCAATTATCTCTTTACAGAGATTTTATAACTGAATTTTTACACTAACTGTAAACTCATTCGTTGCGTAAATGCTTTAAGATTAAAAAACAATGACATGGAAGGCGCGAAAATGGTACGAAGACATGTGTTTCAATTGTTATATGCTACTCGCGTTTCAATTATAAAATTTTTTCTGATTATTCAGAATTATTTCATCACGTGATTCAATTTTACTTATATCTAGAAACTTAATAACATTTATCAGGGATAAGCTGATACTGATCTTACATACAAGTGGTTTCATGTAATTATGAAGAGAGAAAATGAAAATGATCTTGATAAATTTTTTCAAAAACATATCTTATCATGTTGTGTTGTACTCGATAACTTCAACGTAATTAGCGGGGAAAAGTCCATATGTTCCATCAGGTCCAAGTCCTTGCCACCAGCCTTCGTCAATTGCGTCTATATGTGTAATTATATCTCCAGGATCAAATGTGATTTCTGTGTCATCAGCGGCTTGATAGTCATACAAAGCTCTAGCTTTCATTCCCTCGTTATTCGGGTCGAAATATAAGTACGAGCCATCTAATTGATTGTATAATTCATTTTCGGTGACTTGCTCTTTAGTCTCTGCTGTTTGTTCCGGTTGTGGATTGGTGGTAGTTTTCAATTCTTGATTGGTATTTTGAGATTGAGGCACTGCAGACGAAGAAATCGTAACAAGTGTTTCCGCACTTGTAGGTTTTTTCGCTTCGGCCGGTGTCTCCTCGCAAGACTTTACATCAGGCTGGTCTTTTATCTGAGCCTCTTCCAACGCTTTTCTCATAGACTCCACATGATTGTTCTTAGGTAAAAATTGTTGTGCCGAAGTTGTCTTCATCTGGCCGGCCGCCGAATTCTGTTCAAATATCGCTCGAGCGTTTATTGTTCTTTGAGCAATCAATTGTTGCGTTTCTTTGCTCCTTTGTCTTCGTAGTTCTTCACTTCGCGATTTATGATCATCTTCAACTTCATTGTTGTAATTTTGAGCAGCTTTTTGATTGCGTAAGTTATTTGCCTCTTCGGCACGCTGCTCGGCTAGCTTTTGACGAGCGATTGAATTTTCCTTAGCAGTTACCTGAAACAATATTTCATATGTGTGAATCTACATAATGTATATAACATTTAATATACATATAAGATATATATGTATAATCGAAAAATAAACGGGATTAAGACAGATTAAGACATACCTGTTGTTCCCTCAATTGTGTTTCTTTTTCTTCTCGAGCTCTAATTTCTTGTTCTAATTTCTGTCGCTCTTTTTCACAACGTAGTCGCTCTTGCTCCAATCTTTTTTTCTCTTCCATTTCTTCCTTTTCCCAAAACTGATCCCTTTCCATTGCATTTATTTCTTGTTCAGGGATTACTCTGCAAAGTATACATTAAGTAAAAATTGCATTCTAACGATCCTACAATCACAAGATAGAAATATTAGAAACCTGCGATATGTTGTTCCAACAGGACCTGCATGTCCTTCGTTTTCACTACGAGGTTCATTAAATTTATATGCGGAGGCTGTTGCTCGCGCAAGCTTTTCCATAATTGCGTCTACCTCTACATCATCTTCGGACCGTGCCGTGATTGTTATATGTGCTCCCTTCAACAATTTTTCTACATCTCTAATGTGATTGGCGCATGTTCCTTTCCTAACGATTGGAGCACCTTCTCCTTGCTATAAGTAAATATTTTATCAAGCATGTCTCTACAAACTAAGTTTTTATAAATTTTTTATCATGTTTTTTTATAATTTCATAAAAATGCAGAATATATTGTTTTATCAAATAAATTATATTCCATTCTATATATTTTTTTCATACTTACCCAATTAATAAGCAAACACTTTGGTAGACTTGTTTTAGTGTCGATAACTCTGCAAAATGCATACATGATGTGACTACTATTTAATCGATCAATCATTTCTTCCAATCCGCCATCTCCTGTTCCAACTACTTTTAAGTTATTAGTCTGTCCTTCGTAGCCAAACACAGCCCTGTCAAAAATAAAAAATATTTAAATTTTAAATTATAAAAAATAATCAATTGAGTAATATCTATAAAGATTTATAAGATATATATTGTAAAATTTTTATGAATCATGTAAAATCTTTAGGTTAAAATTATGAGAGGGTTCCTAGATTTACTCACATCAGTCAGTGCTTAATAATTTTTCACTACTTTTCTTTTTTTTACTAATGAGAATATTTTATATTAAATTGGTCAATTAGCAATGTGCACAATCAGATCCCTTTCAAAATTATGATCAAATTTTACATCAATAAATCATAGCTTTCGCTTCAAATTGACAAAACAGTTAAGTTATCAAACAATTAAACATGATCAGTTCTTATCTATAAATCCAATCAATCACATTCAATTGTTATATGAGCTAGCTGCTTCGTCCAGCTTGAACACAGCCAATCATATCTACAATTATATCTTCATGTTTTAAATATAATCATATAATCTTACACTATTTCATCATTTTTGTTCATTAAAAATAAATAAACGTGTTTAATATTCATCTCACACAGATAAAAGATAACATATTTAATATACTTATTTTTTCTGTTTGATAGCGGTTGTCAAAAAAGCGAATAAAAAATTAAAATTTCAAGAGCAAATAAAAATCAAGATGTAGATGAATTCAGTAAGAACTAGTTTTTAATGTCAGTCTAATATTTACGCAAAACAGCAAAGTTTGCAGATCGGAATATACGTTCGAATTCAGAATTGTGAACTTGATACCGACGGGAAATAACCGGCTAACTTGACGTTCATATATGTATGTATACGAGCAAGTATGCCGAAACCGATTCGGTGCTACACGCCGGATCGAGGAAACGCAATCGAGATTTAAGTATACGCCTACCAGTTAGTAGACAATTTATCGTCGACCACACTGTGCCAAGCCGCCACCAACGCATCTTTGTTTTTCGTCAGATCAATTGACATTGTTCCTCGCTAAATTAATCAAGTTCATAACAAGTTCCGGGGCGGATTCAGGTGGATTCGATAACGGGAGGAGCCGCACAGATTGTACAAACACATAGACGGCAAACTCGTCTGATCCGCTGTGGAAGGAGCGTTTTAAACGCCTCCTACGGACAAGTCATTATTCAATATGGCCGATTTCTAATAATTAATAAAACGTGCTATAAATTATGGAAATAAATTTGTTTCTATTTAATAGTCCCTTTTTGGTTATTCAGATTTTATATAAATATTGGTTATAGACTGACTTTATAGTTCTGCTCAATTGTAACCTAACCTAACCTATCTTCGCTTTTTCTCTTTTTAACGTCCAAATATATATCTATTTCATTTTAAGTTTAAAAATTTTTGGATAGCATTCATATTTTTGTATAGTATTTTTGGTATTTTTCATATTCATGTAAACTTGCATAGCTGCATAAACATTAGCACAAAGAAAATTATCCAATTGTATTTTAGTGGTACGTTCGGGGAGACGCTAATAGCGCTATTCTGTCATTCTATCTTCGTTGTTTATTAAACGTAAAACAAGGATAGAATGACACAATAGCGCTAATAGCGTCTCCCTGAACGCACCTTATGTATGTTCTTATGATAGAAATAGGTCTGGAACTCTATTCTTGAGCACATACGAATAATTTTCGCATATGAAAATGATAGTTTCTCGACTGTGATTAGTCGATTGTATACGGAATTGCTATTTTCGAATGCGATATTTGTTCAAGAGCAGGGCCCTTGTTCTTTTTAGCTGAACTTTTGCTAGTTCTTCCTTTTCTCTCCAGGAGGAAAAAAGAGGAAGAAAGATGAACTGATGCAAAAGTTCAGAAAAGATCAGGCCTAAGGCCGGAATCAGACTACGCATTGAATATTGAGATTGAAGATTGAAAGATTGAAATTTGACCAATCAAAACAATAGGAGCTAAAATTCCTTTGTCTTCACTGGTTAAATTTTAATCTTCAATCTTTAACCTCAATCTTCAATACGTAGTCTGATTCCGGCTTAATGCCCGTGTCACACTACGCATTGGAGATTGAGGATTGCGAATTAAAGATTAGAA